GTTTTCTTAAAAAAACCGCAACTACAAATGATTTATACTATCTATTTTCTTAAGAAAACTATCACTACAAATGATTTTCAAAAATTACAAATCGGGCTCAAAAATAGCAAAAATAAAATTAATCCGGGAAGGCCCCCACCAGTCAGCCACCTACCCGCTCCTTCGATTTCACAAATCACGGCATTTTTTGCGCACTTCGCGGCCAGCGGGATTCGAACCCACGACCACCCCTCACGCGATACTCCTCTAACCATTACACCTCACACTCATTAGTGTCTATAATAGATTTTCTTTCTCCTCATACTATCCTCAACTGAGTTTAAATTGATTGTTTGCCTAAACGAATTCAAATCAAAAAGTTGTCAACTACAAAGTTGCATAACTTTTCGAGATCTACAACTTTCATTTTGGTTGTTTCTCCATCCGAGGTTGTTTGAAAAATTCAAATTTCAAATTTGAGAAATTCAAACATAGTTTTTCATGATAAAATGATTTCAAATGAAAATGTTGTCAAATACAAAGTTCTAGAAATCATCGAGACCTACAACTTTCATTTTGGTCATCTTTTCATGTGACTTAGTTTGAACAATTCAAATTTTGAATTTCAAAAAATGAGAACTTCAAACAAGATTTTGAAATAGCAAATGATTTCGGCTGCAAAAGTCATCAACAACAAAGTTATAGAACTCACCAAGGTCTACAACTTTTATTTTGGTTATTTCTTTATCCGACAAAATGATAGTCTATATTGTTCACAAATTCATAAATCTCTCACATAGTTTATGAAACTATATAAGAGATATGACATTTATAAACAATGTTTACTACCACTTTGTCGGATGAAGAAATGACTAAAATAAAAGTTGTAGATCTTGATGAGTTCTACAATTTTTATGTTCATGACTTCTTCAGCTGAAATCATTTGATGTTTCAAAATGCTATTTGAAGTTGTTATTTTTTAAACTCAAATTTTGAAATGTTCACAAGAAAAGATGACCAAAATATTAGATGTAAGAACACATTAAATTGATAAAGCATGATTTTACAAAATTTTAGGAAAAAATCAAGTAATTTAAAGATAGTATGAGGGAGAAAGACTAGTTACAAGTTTTAGCCAGAGATTAAAAAGAGAGATCAGAGTTCTTTGACCATTTAAAAATTAAATTTCAAACGGTATTTTGAAATATCAAATGATTTAAAATCGAAATGTTGTAAACAAAGTTCTATAACTTTTCGAGATCTATAACTTTTATTTTGGTCATTTCTACATTTGAGGTCGTTTGAAAATTTTAAATTTTAGTACTTAATATTTAATATTCGGCTAATGACGCTAGGTTATGAAAACCATCACTATAAATATATTTTTGCCGGCTGTTTTCTTAAGGCACGCCAGTAGAAATCATGTATTTTTACTGACGGTAAACTTAAGAAAACAACCAGTAAAAATAAATTTACACTGGCGGTTTATGATCTGGACCTACAGTTTTATTTCTAGTGGTGCGTGTTTTTTTTTTAACGGCCAGTGAAAAAAAGGTGGCGCCAAAAAAAAGCACCAGTGTACCAGTGAATTAGAACGAGGGGCAGAGGGCATTAGTATTGTTGCTTTGGAGGTTTTAGCACAATTCTACTATTTCTTACCGGAAGTCGTTTGTTGGAATCTTCTACAGGACATATTCTTGGACAGAAATATAAAATAAAATATATGTATCTGCCTGTTTGCTGCATGCATGCATGCACACATATGCATGCGCGAGTTGGCCACTGGTAACTTGTTGAAAAGAACTCTCCAAGTACTTCCACATGAGAGAGAGAGAGAGATGCTGCATATAGTAGGGTATTAGTAGTGCTGTAGGGGCAATTATGAAATTAGGACTGTGTCAATGAAGCTTCTTGCTCACGCTAACCGCAATATGCCTTTTTCTGAGCACTGTATGTACTTTTTGACTGTTCCCCTGCTGTGCGTGGGGCAGCCAGGCAAGGGGCATCCTGACTTTACAATAAAAACCCCTCCCCTCAAAATCAAAATTAAAACCCCGTCAAAAGTAATGTTCATCTGGCTTATTTGTGTAAGGTTAGAAGAAAATTTGAAGGCTGTTCCTATGCTTTGTGCTACTACTCAATTAATTTCCTTAATATGAAATAAAAAACTCCAATGCCATACTGAAACTTTGTGAATCGTTACAATCGTACTAATTAATCACACACATATATATAGCACAAACCAGAACTTATGGAGAAGCTAGCATAAAAATTTGAAAGTGTACGTCGTCTGTTTTCTCTACAGAACCAGTACTGATGAACCAAGTTCCAAAAATGAACACATCAACACTTTCACCACCTCTCCTCTCCTCGCCTCGCCTCGCTCTAACTCAGTGAGAATAAGACTTATTTTGGGAGAGGCAGTACACGCTTAGCTTTTGTGTCCTCTCTCATCGCCAAAAAGAAATATCGAGACCCGAGATCCATGCATGTAGGAAGCTAATAAGAGATACAGCATAATTATTGGTATGAACTAGGAAGAGACTTCTAGCTAGTGATAAGACGTATATATATGCATGGAATCCATGCTTCCGGTGCATTGGTGTCAAAAGATCGATGATCCACACCGCCGTCAAACTAAATAAGGACCTCTAGCAGATCATCGCCATTGTCTAACGCATTCATGCATCTCACCCCAATGCAAGATATATAAGAAGTGACAAACATCATTCCAATCAACTAGCGCATTGTTCTGACTCCCTACATGTGCTGTTTGTGAAACACTACGGGCCTGATTGGTTGTTTGTATCAGTCGGTATATAGACTTGTGGGGTGCAGTTTACTCATGTTTGGTTGACAGCATAGCTATTTATGCACAGTGGCAGAGCTGACGAAAATCGACGCCTAGGGCCACTGTCTAAGCGTATAAGGAATATATAATGAGCCCACATATATATACCAATTAATAGTTCACATAAGTAATGAATAAAATACATAATTTAGAAGATATCTCAAAATTCCACGCACATTTCTACAATGGACATATATATGTGGTGCAAATTAAGTATCTAACTAAAGATAATTATTTTAGTTCATCCCTACCTATCACCAAATAAAATATCCAATGGGGGGCCTAATATCTAACTTCAAAGATAATTATTTCACCGTTAAATCTTCGTGCAAATCAACATCTCTGTTGTTTTAGCCCCCCCCCTTATCCCGCATCCCACATCCGCCACTGCCTATCACATTAACAAGCTAATCTGAATCTATACATGAAAATTTGGATATTTAAAATCAATAGAGGATGAAATATAAAACTACAATTTATTAGTAAACAAAAGTTGATAATAGGGTATACAACATACTAGAGATAAAAATCATGGTCCTTTTCATTTTGTCATTCTAGTACAAGTATATAAATTGCAGCATAAATAACCCATGAGTTCAATTTGTTCAATTAAAATTTTGAAATGGAAAGGAATGGATCTAAACATAGGGACCATGCATGTGATTGGAGAAATCAGGAGGAAAATGACGATTGGAACACTGACTAATTTATAGTAAACCTGACTAGATCAACCACCATAGATAATTAATGTGGTATAAGAGAGATTTTGGGTCATGTCTAGAGCCGTGGCCCCAGGCATGTATCTGTCCCTACATATACAAGCTTGCACAGCGCTTAAAGCAGGTTCAATGCTGCATTAGTTAGTACGTCAGATTTGGTTGTATTAGACAATACAAGTTTACACAAACCAAAGTGCACACATAAATGAAATATTATCATCTCTAACCATGCATCATCGGGCCATTTCGTGCCTCCCCCAGCCCTCCCTGGCCCAACCGGCATCCACCTTCGCCCGTAGCCACTAGCATCCACTGCCCTGCAGCTCCATCCTTGCGTCCGGCCTCCTCCGCTTGGTCGGATTGCAGCCTAAGGACTTCCCTCTATGGTTCTTGCGCGACCTCTATCCTTCTACGAACGGCAACCCCTCCCCCAAACTCGTCGCCTGAGAGCCCTCCAGAAGTTGAGACTACTGAAATCTAGGAGGCCGGTGTGATGCTGCTTTGGTGCCATTAGCGTGGTGCTATATATGGTATCTTTGTCGCCGGTTGCTACTTTTAGCCCAAATTACCTACTACATTTTGATAGCTAGTAATCTAACAACTGGTTAAGTTTGTTAGCTCGGCTATTTTGCCCTCTGCTTGGATAGACTAGCAGGGGTAAAAAAAATTAGAGTTATGTATCAAAAACAGAGGAGACCATAATATACATGGCTCATCACATCACAATTAGATGGGTTAGTTTTGTATAGCTATTTAACAAGAGACTGATGGATGCATGTACACGCACATAAATGAGGGAGGCTGCTGATGGGTCGGGCCGGGGGCGGGGGCGGGGTCGGTGATGAGCACCACGGAAAAGAGGAAAAAGCAGGAGCAGCTGCATGCCACAAAAATAAGGCTACACAGAGACAGAACGGCGCAGGCCCACTTTTCCATGCTTTTCCTCTATCTCTCTCTCTCTCGCTCGCTCGCTGAGCCGGGCGGGCCCCACCTGAGCTGAGCCTGAGCCCCCGCTCTACTCGGCCGGCCCTCACTCATCATCACTCACTGATATCATCCCTGTCTCCGTCTCAGCTTCCCTTTCTCTTTTCTCTCTCCCTCTACCACCTCGCCCCCTCGCCGTCTCCTTCGCCTTCGCTTCGCTAGCTGATTCCCATCGCCATCGGCCTCAGCTCCCCGGCTGCCGCGACCTCCACTATCTCCCCGTCCCAGTCCCAGCTCCCAGCACCATCCACCATCCATCCGCAGAGACCGGCCGCAAGGGAAAGCACACACGCAGCGAGCTGCTAGCTAGCTGAGAGGGAGAGAGGAAAACCCTAGCACGCACGCACTCGCTTTCTCCGGCCGATCCATATCCGTCCGCCCGTCGCCGCAAGCACCGGGACGGACGCGACGACAGGTAGCAAAGCATAGCATCTATCTCCGCCGCCGTACCCACCACTACCACCACCATGATCTTCCCCCCTGCCTTCCTGGATTCCTCGAGCTGGAACGATAACCAGGTAATCCTCCGCTCCGGCCGTTTTCAAAATCTCTATCGCGATTTGCATCTTCGGTCTTCTCCTCCTTTCTTTCTTTTTTTTCTTTCTTTCTTTCTTGTTTGCTTTCTTTCAGCAAAGATTTTATTCACTCTCTTTTGAACAAGCTAGTAGCACGAATAATCAAAAGGTGGATCGAGAAAGTTGCAGGCTTGCAGCTGCCTGCTCCGTGATATATATTATCTATTTGCAGCTGACTAATACTAGCTAGCAGCTCAAAAGAAGAGAATAATCTACCTAGGGCTTGCTAAATATTCTGATCCAAGATTACAATATATATATATACTATATATATCATCTGCTAGCTAGTTTAGCTTCGTAGTACATACTTGGCCGCCGCTTGAATGAAATTCTTTCTGTTTCCTCCCTCCTCGATCGATCGATGCTTTATTCATTTATTCTCATCTTTGTTTCGATTTTGTAGCATCAGCAGCAGCAGCAGCAAGCCCACCACCAGCACCAGGTTGCAGCCAACGGCGGTGGCGGAGGCGGCGACGCCAATCATGAGCTCCTCCAGCAATCAATCATGGGGGGACCCCTTCCCGATGGAGGAGGTGGAGGAGGTGGTGGCGGGGGACAGGTTGGTGGCCCCGCGAAGCCCATGTCCATGGCGGAGCGCGCGCGCCTCGCGAGGATCCCGCTGCCGGAGCCGGGGCTCAAGTGCCCGCGCTGCGACTCCACCAACACCAAGTTCTGCTACTTCAACAACTACTCCCTCTCCCAGCCGCGCCACTTCTGCCGGGCCTGCCGCCGCTACTGGACGCGCGGCGGCGCACTCCGCAACGTGCCCGTCGGCGGCGGGTACCGCCGCCACGCTAAGCGCGCCAAGCCCAAGCAGCAGCAGGCGGCTGCCGCCGGGGCCGGGACTGCGGCGTCGGCTGGGGCCGCCACCGCCGCGCTGCATCAGGCTCCCGCTGGGTCCACGGCGTCGTCGGCCGCCACCTGCACCGCGACGACGACGACCAACGCGCTCCACGGAGGGCCCGGCGGCATGCTAGGCGGCGGCGGCGGGCTGTCCATGCTGCCGCCGCTGCTCCGCCTCGCCGACTTCGACGCCATGAGCCTCGGCTCCACCTTCTCCGGGTTATCGTCGATGGGGAAGCCCGGCTCCATTGACGCCTACTCGCACTCGGTCGGCGGCGGCGGTGCTGCTCCGGCGGGGCTGGAGCAGTGGAGGGTGCAGCAGATGCAGAGCTTCCCGTTCCTGCATGCGATGGACCAGGGCCCACTGGGGCCACCTCTGGCCATGGCAATGGCGGCGCCAGGAGGGATGTTCCAGCTAGGTCTAGACACCAGCGATAATGGTCATGGCCGTGGCGGTGGCGGCGGTGGAGAAGACAGGTCATCCGGCGCAGAGCTCCATGTGATGCAAGCAGCCACCAAGAGGGAGAGCTACCCGGCACCGAGAGGCATGTATGGCGATCACCACCACTACCTCGCTGCTGCTGGTGGCTACACTTCTTCCTATTCCACCAATGCTGCTACAGGTAACCATCTCTTGTAATGGCCGATCGATCGAGAGTTGAACAATTCAGGTCCAGCTAGCTACACGCTGCGATCGTGTCGGCCGATCGATCGATCGATCGATCTTCGTTCGTTCCTACAACTAGCTAGAGATAGAGTGTGTGTGATCGATGGTACTGTGATGATCATATAGAAAAGGTTAGTAGCATGCATTTGCAAATGTTTGCTTCGAAGAAGAACTGGAGATGAGGGAGGAGGAGAGGCTCGGTTTGGATACGGACGAGCCGTGTGTTGGTTGGATCATGCACAAATATTATTATCTTCAGCCGCTAGTTATTAGCTGCTTGCATGGTCACTTGTTTTATGTTTCTTCTTCTTGTTCTTCCTTTTTTTTTTATCTGATCCCTTTATTAGTTTTCACTACTACTGTCGATCATTTGGGGTGAAGTAATGTGTACTGCTGTTCATCATTTTGTTCATGAAAACACCTATCATATGTCAATTATTCCCCCCTTTTAACCTTATATTTATATATAGTTCTCTCTCCAATCTCCATACATGAATGAACAGCCGTGTTCATTTTTTGACTGTAAATGGGAGTTTGCATGACTGGTGAAGAATTTGAGCAGTGGTGCAACTGGATTGTCTAATCATGATAAGTAAATAACCAAATTGCATGTGTTCATTAATTTGACCATCATATATATTGGTATCATATAGGATAAATACTTGAGAAACATGTATATAGTCAGAAGAAATATAATGAAGGGCATAGAATCATTAATTCCATGCATACAATGCTGTTAGTATATACAGATCGAGTTTAGATGTTTTCCCGAGCATGCAATAGTAGTACATAAATAAATCTATTAATATTTGTAGACTATATATATAACTATCCCCCAATATAGTTAATTTATATAGTGGCATGCATATATAGCGTCGTGTAATTACTCTAGTGTTATTCGTGCAGGAAAAGGGGTGTAGTCAAAGAGCGAGCTGAGGCCCATTCAAAAGTGTGTGTCTTTTGCTTGTTTTTTACCTTTTACTTTACCATCTTTTTACAGTACGTGATAGAACGTACTAAAGCAAGCGTGATGAAATCCAAGGTCTTTTGTGTTCCATGAAGACCATCTTGCTGAGCTCTGCACTGCACATATCTAGGTGGAGAGAGAGAGAGAGAGAGAGGGCTAGAGTGAGATAGATAGATACCCTCATCTGACTATATATAGATATATACCTAGGTAGCAGCTGTGTGTTCTTACTTATTGCAAATTACAAGCACATATATATACACACACAATAAACTGCAGATAATAAATTTATACACATACGATAGGTGTAAAATTAAGCTAGCAGTGGCTCATACGTAGTATCATGTACTAGTATTACTCTAATCGCCATGCATATACAGTGTCATACACACCACTACTACTGGTAGGAACAGGATTTAGGATATAAGAATATCTTATTATTATAGTTTATACATGTAAGGACAAGATAGATGCTCATGATGCATGGCACTGCTGGCATAGAATAAAGGAAAAGGAGGGGGTCCTGAAAAGAGAGAGAATTGTTCATGAGTTTGTGATGGATCTGCTAGTAGCAGATATATGATATGATATATGACACGTAAGCCACAGCTAGGTAGGCCACGCATATATATATCAAAGTGTGGATGATCTTAGAATGATTCGAGGACATATATCTATATATATCTATATATGGAAGAGCGAGAAGGACGAGGAGGCCGCCGCCGTCGACGGCTGGTGAAATGTACGTAGGTCGGTAGCTATATATTTGTCTTCAATTCTCATATTATCTGACTGATGAAAAACTGAGATCGACCCTGCATGCATGCATGCTGCCCAGCAGGATTAGGATATAGCTGATCAGTGTATACAATATATAGTTACATGCATAGAAGTCTGAGATGGAACGACACTGAGAAAGAGATAGCAGTAGCAGCCTAGCAGGATTATGCTTAGAACGAAGCAATATATGCAGAGTGCAACGGTGTTCCCAAAAGCACGAGGCCGGCCGGCCGTCAGAAGTGAAGGGTACGTACAGGAAAGCGAAAGGAAGCGAGGCAGCAAAGCAATAAGCAGCAGCGTACGATATAGAGGGAGATGCATGATGAGAGAGAATGTAGAGAGAGAGAGAGAGAGACATGGACTAGGACTCTAGGAGCTAGAGCTAGTAGCTAGAGAGTAGTACAATATATGCCAGCGCATGCATGCAGCTGATATCTAGTAGCTAGTAGGACGAAGGAAGGAGAAGGGTCATGGTCGTCGTCGTCGTGGGATCCTGTGAGGGACTGGGAGTAGCTAGAATGAAGAAAGATAGCTCTGCATGGTTGATCGTCCGTAATGGCGCCCGCCCGCCGGCTGGCTGGTGGCCCGCGCGGGCGTACGTATTAGAATTGGAATTGTGGAATCGTCGGAAGCGAATGGTCCAAGATCTGGACCGAATTCTTGATCTTTGATATGCGCATGTTACTCGGAGGAGCTGCTGATGGAGGGAATCAGATTCTCTCTGCTTTGCGCTGCTTGCCTTTGGGGGTTGCCTTTGCTTTGCTTTGCTTTGGGGCTGCTTTCTCGAAGGCCTAGGGAGCCCTACTAACCCACCCGGCCTCTTCTCCTCCCAGGAGCAATCCAGCAGCATGCAGTCCTCCCTCCTGTTCTCCTCTTTGGGAGAATAAAGCCACCATGCACATGCACTCATGCTCCCATAATCCTCATCCATGCATCAACAGACATATATACCCCCACCCTCATCTCCTATCCTATTCAGTATACTAGTCCTCTCCACAGTCCACAGCACAGTAGTGTAGTGACTACTGAGAAAGATCTAGAGAGAGAGGTAGTATAGTTGCACCTTGCATGCATGCATGTTCCATTGTTGCATGTATAGTTTTCTGTTTCTTCTTCTTTTTGGATTCCTGATATATAATAGATGGATAGATGAGGAATGGAATTCAATGATTTAACCCATGCGTGCGTGCGTGTAGGACGATCGACCAAGCATGACACACATATATTCTTTAAGGTATCTCAGTTCGCATCAGATTTCCATCGATCATCGATCCATCCATCATGATGCCAGGCAGACAACTGATCAATCGACTGTCTTCCACCAGTTCCACATCGTAACTGCACTGGCCAGCTTACGTACTGAAATGTCTGAAATGCCTTCTGTGTACCTTCTTGGATGATGACGATATATATGGCATCGGTTCCTTTGGAATATAATGTCCCCGTACGTACATATGCTTTCAGCTAGCAGTGTGGGAAGCACATCTCCAACTCCAATAGTGGCTCAAGAATATATAGTAGTTGCAGTGGAAGATAACGGTGCCGATAACAAGGAATATATATATTTGAGTTTGTTTGGAGGAACAATACCGAATGACATCGTCCTAGGAATTTATTGCTTCATATAATACTCCCTCCGATCCGTTCCAAATTGCAAGTCGTTTGGGCTTTTCTAGGTATATAGTTTTTGCTATGTATTTAAACATAACTTATGTCTAGATACATAACAAACAATATACATCCAGAAAAACTCGAACGACTTACGAGCGGAGGGACCGAGGAGGTAGTATAAACTTACGTCATCCAGCACTCACCGCCCCTTAGCTTGTGCTAATTAACAGAGTCTCCCCCTCCCGACGAACCCTACACCTTTCTCATGCAAATAAAACCTCGGTTCTTAACACGAATTTGAGAAGGGGGGAAACTAAACTTGATTTGAATGTTGCAAGGTTCATTTCAAAAGTTACAGGATGTCCTTTGTCATATTTTATGTTGCATTTCAAGTGTTGGTGTGTAAGTGAATTTGACCATTTCCCATCGTATTAGGATTGATCTTACGGTTTAACCACACTTAATAATTATCTAATAAAGTTAGAGCTGAAAAAATATAAATCCGAGACGAAAAGAAAAAAGGCAAAAAAAAAAGATGTGGGGAATAATTTATCCACTTGTTTCATGATTCTAAAATCTTATGGTGTCCATCTTGCCAACCACCTCTCTTTGCTAGCACCCAAGTTGACGCCAAAAGTGAGCGGAGGTCCAATGTTGATGTGACATCAATGTATATCTTAGGTTAGGTCTAACTAGGCTAAAGACCTTGTTATCTTCATCCAGCAGATTGGCCTTGGTTAGTTCAGTACTCTCTACAATACCAGCCTACCACATCTCAATACTTCCTCTGTCCAAATGGGCGGTCAAGCGAATTGATTGAATCTGAAGAAATTTTCTATGGAAGGTGATGAGAGTGGAAGAGTAGGCCATTGCCAGGACAATTGGAGAGTACTAGGATGAAAGGCGCGCTCCGCTGCGCCCGCCAGTCCAGGCCGAAACTAAACATCATCATAGAATTTAGTAGTAGATTAACATAGAAGAGTAAATATGAGGTTGAATCCAATTGAAAATAAACACTTTCTTTGACAAATTGTTTAAAAAACGGTAGTTCAGTCATGCATGTTTGACCAAAAAGCATAAACATTTTGTTTCCAATATTGTTTCATGTGCAGTGGACCAAAAAAAAATGGAAATCCACAGTAGAATTAAGAAACCATGTATTCGTATGTAAACAATACACGTCCTATTGAGACATCTAAACATACATGTTAAATCGGTTCATGAAAATAACAACTACAAATGATCATCTTGAAAAAAACCTAGGATGTCCTTAGTAATATATTCTGTATTTATATATCCATGTCCATTAGTAGTCATCTCCTCTCTGTCCATTGTCCTGTAAGGCTGTAAGTAGGCACCGACTCCTAGTTGACTTGCTGGGAAATTCGAAAAGAAAAAAAAAGGTGAATACATTATAGGCAAATAATAGGCATATGGTTACTGAATTAGACATGCTGTTGATGTTACACGCCGCAAAAGCAATAAAATCATATTGATCATATAAACCTGAAAAGGGAGAAACTTACAAAAGCAAAGGCAAGTAAAATAAGGACAATAATACTAACAAAGCATGAATGCCTTCACTTAAATTCTTATGATACAGAGAAAAATCGAG